GGGGGGGGGGGGGGGTGAAAGAGAAGCAAAAATGGTGAATTCTGTATTTCAGAGGAAACAGCTTCACCCAGGTATCAACAAAAGCAACATTCAGCTCCAGATTTAATATAGTAGGAAGAGAAGCTACTTAGAATTATTACTGTGCTGCACAGATGGATTTTATGTTGATAATAAGGACTCTGGCTGTGCTTGGCTGAACTGGTTGTGATGCATTGTGAGGACTGGAGAAATGAGAGAAAAGTGGGAAACAGCCTGGGGAAATAGAGCCATAGATGAGAATATCACATAACCCAGTGTGCAAAGCCTACCTGGCTGGATTATTTAGTGTTATTAGGATCCAGCCTCTGCTCTAAAAGCTCAGAAGCACCTTCTGACAGCACTCTTTCTCACCAATTTTCATCCAACATGAGTGGAAGTAGTTGGGATGTGAGATAGCAACTAACCCAACATCATCCCATGAGCTTCCATGGCTGAGGTTTCTGGTCCTAGTCCAACTTCACCAGTAGAATACTCTGGCTTCACTTGGTCTCAAGGGCCCCGGTTCCCTGTAGGCTTCTCCCTCTCTTCTGATTTCCACAGTGTCCAGGGCAATGCTAGAATAGTTACTCTGAGCATTGTGGGAAATCAGAAATAGCCTCCTTGTTCCAGCTGCTGCCACAGGACAAGTCCATGACTAGTGAAAAGGCTGATGGGAAAGCCTTGTGGACATCAGAGGTGGTGGTCAACTGTTCTCCTCTCGTTAAAGGTGCCACGACTGTTTCACTTCCCCAACCTTCAACTTCAAATTAAATTATTTCTAGTAATATCTTATACTCAAATACCCAGCCAGACTGGAGAACTGTTATGGAGTCACACCAATCTTATGTGCTCTAGAGGTACCACTGACTTTGATTTATCTGGATAACAGCCCAGGCAACAGTCCAGCCCTGTTAGCAATATTCTCTTGCACACACACAAATGGTAAACACAACACTCTTCCTTTTCAGAGATCAGCTGGGTTTACACAAAACATGCTAAGCCCATTTTTAACAAAAAGCCATTATTATTCTTACATAACATGCTCCACCCCAGTAGATCATATGTATTAATACAATGACCTGATTCAATCAAATGTGCTAAGATTGTGGCTGGGTTCCCTGAACTACAAAACAAAAAGTAAAGATTTCTTTAGCATGAATCCTTGGGAGTTCAGGGA